CACTGCCCACTTCTCCTCTCCCCTCTCTTAAGAATGAAGATCGTAGTGCCACCCCTCGGTTCTGTCTCATGGCTCTTAGGACCAAGACCCCAATCTTCTCCATGGCCTTCAAAGCCCTGCGTGCTCTGGGCCTGCTCACCTCCCCGAGCCTCATCTCGGCTCCCCTTGTGACCTCCTCCTCCCGCCACTGGTCTCCTTGCAGGGCACGTCACCTCTCTTCTCGGAGGGTAGGCTGGCTCCTCTCCAACTCCAGGTCTCACCAGGTGTGACATCCTCTGAGGACGTGACCTTGACCATGGAGTGCCCCATTATTCTGCCATTCCCAGACCAGGACAAACTGCTTACGCATCTACGTACTTACCATCTCCTTCACCCCATGGCCTCTGAAGGCCACGTCTGCCCGCATTCAGCGTGGTCCCTGGCACAGGGAGGAGTTTCTGAATGAACGAGTCACCCCCAATGAGCCTCTCCCTCTGCTGACGAGTGACGGGGCCTGTGAGCTGACCGGTAGCTGACTGCCTCCTACACCCCTGGCGGCTGTGCCAGCTGTGAGCGGAGAGCTAAGCAGACACAACTGTGGCTCTCCCCAGGCGCCCACAGCCCTGCCATATTCCATCTGGGCTTTTCCTGCCATCATCCCACTTACAGATGTCACCCTTCACACGCCCAGCTGCCTGCACAGCCTCTGTCAGCGACCACACTGCCAGGCAGAGCCGCGCCGAACAGCACGCAGAGGGGTCCACACTGGAAGGCCGCCTGACTCACGCCCAGTGTGCTGGGATTCTGTCTTGGCATCTGGTTAAGTGTGGCAAGAATGCCAATTGCAGCTGCAGAAAGCCACGGTCCTACAGGAGCCACGCGAGTCAATGGCCCGAGAAAGAACAGGCCCCAGGGAATTGGACACTGAACCTTTTCTGCTTCTTATCCTCTACCTGCCGACATGGATCAAGCCACAGTCCCCTCCTCTCTTCCCTGGATGTGGGCAACAGCCTCCCCCTGGTCTCCCTCTCTGCCCTCCCCCTGCTTCAGCCCCAGGGCCAGACAACCCTGCTACACCCACCACAGGTTCGCCACTCCCCCCCAAGCCCTCCCCCCGGGCCCCTCGCTAAGAATAAAGGCTAAGTGCGTGCCTCTCCTGTGACTCCCTCCCCGGCCCCTCCCGCAGCTATCTTCCTGGCCCCCTTGCTCTTCTCACAGACACCCCAGCACCAGTGCTGAACCAGGGCCTTTGCACTTGCTGGTCTTCTGCGTGGTCCACTCTCCAGCCACCCAGGGGACCTTGTTCCCCCTCCTCCTGCAAATCTAGCTCAAGTCACCTCCCCTGGGAGGGCTTCCCTGGCCAGCTCACCACCGTGAACCCTCCCACTGTGCCGCCTCGAAACTACCCGTCCTCGACCCTGCCTTACGTTTGATGCCAGTTACCGCCCGCCGCCAGGTGACCTGGCTGTTCTCGGCGCTCCCGCCCCACTGCGCGCTCTGTCAGAGCACGGGTTTTGGTCTATTTCATTCTCTGACATATCTCCAGGGCCTGAAACTGTCACTGCACATAGTAGGCTCTCAGAATATCCAAAAAGCCCTCTCCCACTCTCATCAAAGAGGCCAAAGATCCTCCCGCAGGTCACAGCCCCTGCGGTCTAATGCCACTCCCTCAGGTCACACTTGTGAAGTTGATGGTGCCAGCAGGGATATGACCAAAGGTCACACCGTGATAACAGAAAAAGAAGGCTAACCCAGAACCACGGACTCCTAGTCAGAGGTCTCTCCACCATCCATACATCCCACCCAGCTAGAAAGAAAATTCTAAGAAAGCATCAGCCAAATAGGCAAATGAGAACCAGGGTGCAGAGAACGGGTCTCCAGCAAGACCACCTCTCACACAGTGTGAGGCCTCGGCCAAACCACTGCCTCCCTCCAGGTTAACCTGGGAGACAGCTGGGGTCAACCACCATTTAGCAGCACACAGTGCAAAGGTGAGGACGGCACACGCCCTGTGCAGAGCTCACGGTCCAGTGAGGAAAACAAGCAGAACGAACACAAAGCCTGATGCTGAATGCAAACAGGTGAGGCTTTACCAGAAGGTGCGCTGGAGAGCAGCAGCCCAGACAGAAGGGAGGGAAGGGAGCACGAAATTGACAGAGGCACCATTGGGCATGACAGCGAGGGACCTGTGGTCCATCAGTGCCGCTCAGCACAGCTCATGCAAGGAGGGCTGGGAGATGTGGCGAAGAACGAAGCAGGGGTCGGGTCAGGTCACAACACGAAGGGCCTGAGGCATCATGCAAACACGTGTGCTCCTCAGCATGGCATTCCAGGGGCTCCACAGCCAGCATGCCTCAGTGGACATGTGTGCAGGCAGAGCACGTGTCCTGTAAGCTCTAACACCACGGGCAGGGCAGGGCAGGGCAGCGGCCAGCACACTGCCAGTGCTCAGGGACCACCAGCCATCAGTGTCACAAGGAAGCAGCATGAGGGGATTCTTACTAAGAGAAGATTTGTTACCAAGGGTTGTGCCATATAAAAACCCTTAACAGTTCTGTACTTCGTGGTGGGTGTGTCCTTCCTCCTTTGAGTTTCCCTGGGTTGAAGTCCACACTCCAAAAAAAAGAGTTCAGCAATCATGGGAAGCACCTGGAAGGGCTGCAAACCCACCAGACCTGGAGGGGACCTCTGACAGCACGGTGCTGGCGCAGGTAGAGACGCCGCCTATGGCCAACGGCCACCACTGACCTGACAGGACAAGGACAAACCTTTGCAACTCCTGTCCCATGAAGCAGCAGCTCTCCCAGAGGCAAGGCCACCCCGGGGCAGGGCGCACCGCAGCCCTGCAGGCCTTTCTGGGGGACCTAACCCTCCCCTTGGTCCTGCACTCGGCAGTGACGGTCCCCAACAGTCCTCCAAGACTGCACTCCAGCTCTGTGACTGTAACACGGGAGCGCTCTCAAGAACACGAGAATCAAGGAGAAAGAAGTCTGTCTTCAGTAACAGGATCTCGGAGGAGAGACACGAGGACTGCATCCGATCCCGCGGCTGTCAGAACAAACTACCACAAACTCTGCGGCTTCAACAACAGAAAGTCATCCTCCCGCAGTGCTGGAGGCTGGAAGTTCAAAAGCACGGTGGCCGCAGGGCCACCCTCTGAAGTCTCTCGGAGAGGAACCGTCCTTGCTTCTTTCGCTTCTATGGATTCCAGGAAATCCGCGGCGTCCCTTGGCTCTCAAGTGCATCACTCCAATCTCTGCCCCCATCTTCAAATGCCCCATCCCCAAGGTCTGTGTCTCTATATCCAAATGTCCCTCCCCTTAGGACACCAGTCATTGGACTAGGGTTCACCTCAATCCAGAATGACCTCAACCTAATCAAATCTGCAAAGATCCTATTTCCAAATAAGGTCACAATCACAGGTTCATGAATTTGGGGGTGTGGCGGGGGGAACACTATACAACTGAATCCAAGGATGAATTACCAAGAGACAGAGTGATCAATCCAAAGCTTTATTCAGCATTACAACTCCACATGGCAGCTCGATTATTCTTACATCTCCATCAGTTGTTAAGAAGTGGTTTATCGCCCGGCAGGTCTGGCTCAGTGGATAGTGTCGTCCAATGGACTGAGAGGTCTCGGTTGATTTCTGGTCAGCGCACATACCCAGGTTGCCACCTCAATCCCCACTAGGGGGATGTGTGCAGGAGGCAGCCGATGGATGTTTCTCTCTCTCCCTTCCTCTCTCTCTAAAAAATCAACAAAAACATATTTTACAAAACAAAAAGAAGTGGCTTACTCAGACTGGGAAGGAACCAAAACCTCTAGGCCTAAAACCAACTTGCACTTAATGCCAAGTGGCTCCTATTCTGAGACCACATTCCAGACCACTTGTCCCTGTCACCACGAGGACCTCCGATTCTCTGCCGATCCATATCGCCCACAACATCTTGGACCCCAACACCGGTCTTAAGGAAAGCTCTTACTGTTCTTCAACCACGCACCATCCTACAGAGTAAAAGAGGGTCTTTAAAGACCTTTGGTGCCCCCGCAACGGCACTGTGTCCGAGCAGCCTGTCCCTCACTCCTGCTAACCGCACACCACTCTGAGAAGCCCGTCTCTCGTGGACTCGGCGGATCCCACGGTTGGCAGGTCCACGCTCACACGATGCCGTTTCCTAGGCAACGCCGATGCTCTTACTCCGCGCTGTGAGCGAGTCGGAGTTACTTTGACACCGCAGTTCTCCATTGTCAGTATCTCGGATCGACGTTTCTCACGGAAGGAGCCGTGTTCCGCCGTCTCGGGGTTGCTGGTCGCTCCTGTGCTCTCGGGTGGATGGTTTCCCAGGGTCTTCTCCACGCACCGCACCGTAGGGTCCCGCGCTCCCTCGGGCGGGCCCTGCCACTGCCACAGCCAATCCGATGCGCACCCAGGGGGCACCCCCCACTGCGGGCACCTCGCGGGTGGTCTGTTGGTTTGCTGGTTGGGGGGTCGGTCTGTCTGCTCCCTGCTGCCCAGTCAAGAGAGCAGATGACTTTGAGGCCAAAAGTGGGAACACGGGAATTCACGGGGTGCCTTGGCCCGACTTCCCCGCTCCGGGCACAGGTGCGGCCCACGCGGCCCACGCGGCCCCGGGCCGGTCAGGTGGGCAAAGCCACGGCGCCCGAGCAGAGGCCGATCGGCGGCGCGGCCCCCCCGGCCCGGCCCGGCCCGGCCCGGCCCGGCTCCGACCCCGCCGGCCCCCGCCACCCCGCAGCCCGATGCGCGAAGGGCTGGTCCCGGGGCCGGTCTCGGGGCCACCTCGCCGGCAGCGGCTCCGCCCTCCCCGCCCCCCTCCCGCGCGCGGCCGCCGCCCCCCGGACCCCACGCTCCGACCTCAGGCCCCGCGCCCCCCCCCGCAGTCCCCTCTGAGCCCGGGCTACCCCGCCCCCAGCCCCGACTCGCCCGCAGCCCAGCAAGCCGGCGCCCCCACCTGAACTCTGACCCCTGACCCCGACCCGGCGCGCCCCGTCACACCCACCTGCCCGGGACCTTGCTGTTGCTGCGCTTCCAGAACTGCTTCCTGGCCCCGTCGCTGGCCATGGCCCCTCCTCATCCCTCAGGCCGGCGGCCCCGACACCCCAAGTGCTGCGGACCGGCCCCGCGGCTCCTTCCTGCACCCTGGCTGGCCCCTCAGCCGTCCCGGGACTCCCGAGCGTAGAGCCGAGAGGCTCTTCCGCCTCCCTCCGGAAGTTGTGCCTCCGCACGACAGGAAGTCCCGCCTCCGTCCCAGGCACGCGTTACGTCAGTGCGGGCGCCCATCCGACTAGTTGAAAGAGCGACGCCCGGCGGCGCGGCGGTGGAAGTGCAGCGCCGGAGGCCCGCGCTGGGTTGGCTCGCAGGCGCTGGGCGCCCAGTCTCAGGGACAGTGGTCTGGACCCCATGCAGGGCGACGAGGAAACGGAGCGCACCCCACTGCAGGCAGCGGTCCAGGATGTGCGCCCGCCTGTTTGAGGGAAGGGAGAGTGGGGCCAGGCCAGGCTCCAGCGGAAGAAGGAAAGGATCCACTTTTGCATTGGCTACATGTTGCGATAGTATTTTTGGTATATTGGGTTCAGTAACCTATATTGCCAATTTTTTTTTCACTTACTTTTTTTTTTTTTACTTTTGTTTTTCAGTGTCCCTACCAGAAAAACGTTAACTTAGATAGGTGGTTTGCATTCCGTTTCTTTTGGCTTTGTAGCAGAGACGGAGACGTCAGGGCCTGGCATGTCAGACTGGACCTGCAGCAGAGCTCCGGGACTTCCTTGACACTCCAGTGACAGGCCTCTTCTTTTTTTCTCTTTATTGATTTTACAGAGAGAGGAAGGGAGAGGGAAAGAGAGAAACATCGATGGGAGAGCATGTACTGGCCGCCTCCTGCACACCCCCCACTGGGGATCGGGCCCACAGCCTGGGCATGTGCCCTGACTAGGAATCGAACCGGTGACCTCTTGGTGCATGGGTCAACACCCAACCACTGAGCCACACCGGCCAAGCGACAGGTCTCTTTGCAAAGAATAATTTGAGGATGTCCTCTGATTAAAGTTTTGGCATTCCCCCCCCCCCGCCCCCCACTGCGTTACTGAGGATACGTAGCATTGATTTGGACTTGCTTCATGCAGTGTATTGCACCAGGTACTTGAGACACATTGGCTCAGTCGAATGCCAACCATCACCCCCAGTGAAGACTCCCATGGGCCAAAGGAAAGTTAACTGTAGCTGTTAGCATTATAACGTCTTAGATCTGATTTGCTCCCTGTAACTTACTGTCTGCTCTCTGATCTGCTGGGCCAAAGGAAAGTTAACTGTAGCTGTGACTGGTTGGATGTCATTGTAACGTCTTAGATCTGGTTTGCTCCCTGTAACTTACCGTCTGCTCTCTGCTCTGCTGTCTCAGGGGCAGGAGGAGACAGCTGTGGTCACCAGGCTTGGGATTTCCTCAGCAATACGGCTGCCCTCAAATCTCAGCAAGATTCAGTCCACTTGTCTCTGACCAAGCCCAAGGTCCGGCAGCCACAGCACCAGCCTTACCCAGTGGGGAGCATCAAAGTAGAAATGTTCCCGCAGCACTCGGCATGCCATCCTGTGGGCTGCTGTGCGTGAGGACATGGGGAACAGCCCCAGGCGGGGAACCGCAGGTCTTGCGCTCCTACTGCGTGCGCTGTGCGGGTCCGGGCGCTCAGAACCCGCGGGCCGGGCCGAGAAGGCTGGTCTTCCTCCCCTCGGCTGGGCACCAGGGTATCCAGTACATGGGCGTTCCCTGGCTTCTCCGAGTTTCAGGCTCGCTGCGTCTGAGCCTGTAGCAGGCCCCGGGAGTGAGCCACCGCGCCTCAACGTACGACGCCCCTCTGACTGCTGCTCCTGCAGGCACGTGGCCTGTCCCGCTCGGAAAGAGGTGACGCTCTGTTTGCATCGGCCTCCGAATGCCGCTGCAGCACATTACCCCAAACTCAGTGGCTGGAAACAACACAAATAATTTGCTCACGGTTCCAGAGGTTAGAAGCGAAAAGCAGCTCCCGAGGGCCAGGCAGGGTGCGCTCCTTCGGGGCAGAACCTGCTTCCTTGGCTTTCAGCCACCTGGCAGCCGCTGCGCCCCTTGGCCTGCACCCCGACATCCAGCCTCTGCCTCATTCATCACATTAGCTTCTCCTCTCACTCGGGCTCCTCCCGATCCCCCTAACAGGGGCCTGCCCGAGTTACCAGGAGGGGCTCCCCATCTCAGAGCCCTGGACTTAACTACACCTGCAAGTCTCTTTTGCCAAACCAAGTAAATGCGCAGGTTCCGGAAGGCAGGCGAGAGGATCTCTGGGGCCCGTGGTTCTGGGAACCACAATAAATCATGACATAGAGCAAAGGTTCCCAATTTCCCCCCATGAGAGACAGGGGTCCCCTCCATGTCCCCTTCCCTAACTCGATCCAACATCCCCTTCCCAGGAGTAAATTCTGCCTGGGTTACAATGTCGGTCGCTGCAGGAAAAACATCCAGCTAAGGTCAGCTTGCACTTTTAAAAACCGTTGGGGGGGAGGCCCTGGCCGGTTTGGCTCAGCGGTTAGAGCGTTGGCCTGTGGTCCGGAGAGACCCAGGTTCAGTTCACGCTAAGGGCACGTACCTCGGTTGTGGTTTGTTCCCGGCCCCAGTTGGGGTCGTGTGGGTGGCAACCACATCAGTGTTTCTCTCTCTCTCTTCCTCCCTCTCTCCCTCCTGCTCTCTCTGAGGATACATGCAACAATGTCCTTGGGTAAGGATATTAAAAAGAAAAAACAAATGGTAAATGAACAAGTAAAATAGGACTTTTTAGTCACTGTGTGTATAAGTTTGTGTGTGTGTGTGCATGTGTGAATCCTTGCCCAAGGATATTTTTCCATTGAACAATTGAATGCCTCCTGCATGACCCTGACCAGGGCTGGGGATCGAACCTGCAACCTAGGTACTTGCCCTTGACTGGGAATTGAACCTGGGACCCTTCAGTCCACAGGCCAACGCTCTAACTGCTGAGCCAATCCGGCCAGGGCCTTTTTAGTAATTTTTAAAAATAAAAAATAAATGAAATGCCACTTACCAAAAGATGGGCAAAGATGACAAAGGCCGCCCTGGCCAGTTTGGCTCAGCAGTTGAGCGTCAGCCTCTGGATCAGAGAGTCCCGGGTTCGGTTCCCACTAGGGGCACGTACCACACACCCAAAAAAGGTGACAAAGGCCGATGGTGGCCACGGTGCCAGGAAGTGGACGGACACGCTCACCAGGAGTGCAGACAGGCTCACTTCCCCGAGTGCAGTTTGAGAGGGTGGGGGAAAAGCCCGTGAACACGCACACGCTCGGCCTCCGAACTCGCTGCGGAGACGGACCTGAGTGACACACGCACAGGTGCTCCCTGCCCCCCTCCCCCACTTGCTGCAAAGAGCAGAAAGCTGGAAACAATGTAACTGCGCCTGGAAGGGAATGGGGAATGAATCAGGAGCCAGCCCACCGCATACAATTTGCCATTACAAATGGTGACATCGGCCCTGGCCCGTTTGGTTCAGTGGTTAGAGTGTCAGCTTACACACCAAGGGGTCGTGGGTTCGATTCCCGGTCAAGGGCGTGTGCCTGGGTTGCAGGTTCAATCCCCATCCCCAGGCCCCGGTCAAGGTCGAGCAGGAAGCAAGCAATCAATGTGTCTCTCTCATGTCATCTCTCTCTCTCTTCCCCTCCCTCCCTTCCACTCTAAAATAATAATAATAAATTTTTTAAATGATGTCATCAATGTTCTTTTCTTTCCAACGAAGAAAGTTGTTCACAGTATGTTGTTAAGTAAACAGCAGTTTACGACATTTGTTGGGAAAAGTTTTTGTTTGTTTGTTTGTTTGTTTGTTATCCTCACCCGAGGACATTTTTCCATTTTTTGTTCAGATAGAGTGGGAGGAAGAGAGAGAAACATCGACGTGAAAGGGACACATCGAGTGGCTGCCTCCTGCAGGACCCAACCAGCACCGGGGATGAATCGCAACCGAGGTTCGTGCCCTTGACTGGAATTGAACCGTGATTCATCAGTCCGCGGGCTGACACTCTAACCACTGAGCGAAACTGGCCAGGGCTATTGGGAAAAGTTTTACAAATGGAGCCAGAAGAAAACTCTAGACGGTTATTGTATCAGTTAAGAGGCTCCCAAATGAAGAAAAAGTAATTCGACTGATTTAAACAACCGAGGGGATTTACTGGCTCGGTGTCTGAGAAGCCAGATGGGAGGAGGGCTCTGACAGTTCAGTCCAGGCTCCAGGTCCTGGCTCCCTTTGTGTGGAGACTTGGCCTTCAGGCTGGTTTTCCTCATAGTCACAACGTGGCTGCCAGGTGCCAGCTGCCGCCAGGGCTACAGGCCTCCTTGTTCGCAACCAATGGATGAGTTTTGCTTCACACACTTCATGCTGCAGAAGCTGCAGGATACAAGCTTGGGAAGGTTGGGGCCACTATCCCTGCTGGGAGGGGAGTCAAGAGAAAAAGAGAAAAGAGTGGCTTTCAAGAGCTGCAGATCCAGCCCGGCCGGTGGGGCTCAGTGGATTGAGTCTCAGTCCCATAGACTGAGAGGTCCCGGTTTGATTCCCGGCCAGAGCACGTGCCCGAGTTGTGGGCTCCGTCCCCAGTAGAGGGCGTGCAGGAGGCAGCTGGTCAATGTCTCTCTCTCTCATGGATGTTTTTATCTTTCTCTCTTTTCCTCTCTCTCTAAAAAAATCAATAAAAACATATTCTTTATAAAAAAGAGCCCAGCCAGTGTGACTCAGTGGTTGAGTGTTGACCCATGCACCAAGAGGTCACCAGTTCGACTCCTACTCAGAGCACATGCCCAGGTTGTGGGTCTGATCCCTACTGGGGGGGTATGTAGGAGGCGGCCAATCAATGTTTTCTTCCATTGATGTTTTCATCTCTCTCTCCCTCTCCCTTCCTCTCTCTGTAAAATCACACACACACACAAAAGCCCCCAGACCTGGTTGCTGAGCCCAGCTCTCCCCTAACCCTGGACAGAGGTCCACACTCCCTCAGTCTTGGGAACAGTAACAGCCCAGCCGGGAGGACACGAGGCCAGTCCTGGACACGCTCAAGGGATTGGCCATGAGGCCAGGACACGTGGACTGACCATGAAATGGGTCGCAATGAGTCGTCAGGTGTGAGGGAAAG